TTTTGAATCGGTGAGTGTCAAGTGTATGATTCGTTGTTAAGTATGTGAATTGCTTCTTGCCAATTATGTGATTTGGAATCGTCGAGACAAGTGTGTATTTTATCACACTTGTTCTCTTTCACATGAAATTATATTCGAATTTTGCTATGTGAATAGATATTCGACTATGAAAAGTGTTGTGGTTGTGATTCGTATTTGAAATCGTTGATTGGAGCATTGTCTCATTGACTTATATTCATATTCGATTTATATTCGTATTCGGGGAACGCCCAAACTCATAAGCTAACCTTGTAACTCGAGCCGGCATGGGCTTGGTCGAGAAGTTTGGTGAACTATGAGATATTTGTAAAGCTTGAGCCGGCCAGCATGGGCTTACTCGAGTAGTATCGTCTTTTAAAATGATGAGCAGGCCCGGAATAGAGGGTGTAATGATGAATGGGATTCATGAAGTAAAGTGGTGTTCTACAGACTAAATATACCTACCTGGTTGATGAAGTGTCATCACGCAGAGGTATATGATCGAAACTCGGCACAGCAAGTGGAACCTATCTCCTGAGAGCTCCTGTATCTTTATTGAGTGTGTTTTATTTCAAATTGTGAATTATTTGAATGTTATAGCTTTATTCCTCGTATAAGTGCTATTGTTACTTGAACTATGTGTTTGCATGTTTTTCTTGGCTTCACTGAGCGTTTCGCTGACCCCATTAGTTTTATTTTCCTTAACAGGAGATGAAATGGGAAGAATTATGGAGAGGCCGACTGGATGGCCCTTTTGATTAGAAGTTTGGATGTAATTGATGAGACGACTTTTGGAGGTTGTATATTTTGAGGAAAGTTGATGTACTTTTGGTAACTTACGATGTAAGGTTTGAATGTTCTATTAAGGAAGCGACTTTTCCTCACTTCGACTTTTATTATTTGGTTATTTATCCTTGAGTTTGAATTAGATTTGTATCGAGCCCTGGTGAGAATTGGGCAGGCGTCCCACTGATACCCTTTGGTTCGCCTTAAGGAGAAGTAGGGCGTCACAATAAAAGCACAAGAATGAATCTCAAGTCATCTACCTAGCTTGCCATGAAAATATAAGGAATTTTCCTCAAGTCATCTACCTAAATCAAGGTTTCAGCGAAACCCATCAACAACCCATCAAAGATTCAATTTTTCTAACTACAAATCTACTAGAAATTTGAAGAAAAAAGAGGGTTTCAAGGCAATACCTCTTCTAACAATTTCAATCAAGCAACAAGTCCAAGTTTCCTCCAAGAGTTGCCCCTAAGCAAGACTTTCTTCCAAACTCAAGCAAGATTCCCAGAATCATCCAAAGTTTGGGAAAATTTGAAGCAAAAATGGAGGAAAAAAAGTTGAGCTTTTCTTCTCTTTTTTTTAGCTCTCGGCCCTCTCTCTCTCTCCTTTCCTCTTGATTTTGGTTGTTTTATTTTTTTTTTTTAAGGCAAGAAAGGAAAGATTAAATGATAAGAAAACTTGGTCAAAGGTCTCCCTTGGCTCCCATGGTAACACTTATCGCTTTCTAGAGTTCTTTAGCTCCAAGTGTCCCAACAATTATCACCTTCTAGAGATCTCTAGTTCCAAGTGTCCCAATTCTCTCTCTTATTGCACTAAAATCCTCCTTTTTTTTCAAAGGTTCCTTTTTACGCCCCACTACAAAAGAAATTTTCATTTTACCCCACACATTAATTTTCACATGTAAAATTTAATAAAAGCATTAAGGCAAAATCATCATCAAATCAATAAATAACCAAATAGATGACTTAATAAATAAAGTACCATATAGTTAAACTAGATAAATTAGCAAATTTCTAGGTTCTCACAAAATTGACTTTTAACATCTTTTCATATGCCAACCAAAACAATCAATTCATTCGGATTTTGTCCTCATTTTGTTAGGTCAAATGTCTCTTGTCATTTCAGTTAACCAAATTTTCAAATTATTTTTCAATCGAATTTTAGTAAATTGATCGGATCCATCAAGTATTGTATGGTGCCTACACTAGAGAATTGCATTTTTCATATTAGGCCAACTCTTGGCATAAAAAGGCTCCCCCATAAGACATCATACCGATTTTACAATTTTACTTATTAATTATGGGTATTTTTCTTTTCTTTTTTCCCCTCCTCTGCATTTATAAAAGATGTTTCAATAAGGTAAAATATTTTTTTTATATCTGATAACAATTTTGGTTTGATAAATTTTAAAAATTACAAATATTATTTGATTTTTGACAAATCTTGCAATGTAAAAATATGGAGAATCCAACTAAAAGCGCTAGTCTAAAGCATCTAAGAGATTTCATGATACAGTTGTTCGTTAAAAAAAATCTCTTGATTTGTTGTTTCTAACACATTTTGTCTTAAAAGTAAGAAAAGAGAAACTATGTGTACGTATGAAAGGGAACCCTTTAAAAAATTTTTCTTTTCTCATTTGTATACTAGTTGAGCCAAAAAAAATTTTTTAAACATTTTCGACTATAAATTTTTTCATTTAAACAATCATTGTTTTGTATAATCATGTATATTTCATTATTTATTTGCTCGTTGGGAGACTTTGTGATGGACTTTATGAAATAAGACTAAATTGAGATTCCTAATCTCTTGCATGAAATTACAAGTGTGTGTTTAACTTTCTAAAATTTTTGCATGCTCTAGAGAGCGCTCGAAATCAAAAGAGATCCCTCAAACTTGTCAGTTTGTCTTGAAAGACTAACCACGATACTTTTTCTCTTTTATTTTTGCTATTTTTTTCAATTTTATCAAACCTTCAGAATCAGTCACCTTGATTGACACACTTTAAAATGAGGTAATTTTTACTTTGAAAAGGCCCAATGCATCTAATCAGATTCAATCTACATCTAGTTGAAAGCAAAAATGTCATTACTCTTAGTTGTTTTGAGTATTTGGAATGATATTTTATGTGTTCGTTTTTCTATTTATAGAGATTTTATCATTTGAACTATCAAAAATACAATTTCATTTCAAATAAGAGCCTTAGTGACATAACCCTACATTGAAAAAATTTTCAAATGTCAAAAGAGAATAGATTTTCCCCAATGAGCTATTCTTTACTTGAGCTATCATGTGAAGTAAGAATGATACTTTGGCCATCATTTCTACTATCTAAACACTGTTTATCCTTTGCATCCTCATTTAAGTTTAAATTGGTGATTCGGTTCAAAAGAACTCATGATCGCACCCCACATTAGAGAAGGAGATTTGAGAATTTTCAAAAATAGCAAAGATGCTAAGATTTTGAAAGGGACATGAAGTATTCAAAAAAAAAACAAAGAAGCGGCATCTGTATTCTAAAAGTTAAGGAGCTTTCGATTATATCATTTATATTTGGGATTACGGTATTAGCAAAAAAAAAGGAAAACAGAAAAAAAGGGAAAATGCGAAGAAAAAAAAAAGAAAAGAAAATGAAAAGATGCAAAGAGATTCAATGCTGAAATCCCTCTAGTGATTAATGATAAAAGTTAAAATAGAATCCAAGATCTTTGATCCCAAAACTGGGGCAATTTTGGGAAGGAAAGCGATCTTAAGTGCAATGTCCTTCAAAATCTTGTTTCTTTTAGCTATTGTTGTCAAGCCACATTACAAGCTCATAAAATCCATTGTTGACTTATCTTTCATGACAACTTGAAATAAAAATAGTGCCTCTAAGGGATCTACCAATCATTCGTAATCACAAGATCATAACCTGTTTCATCGTGTTTATCTATTTCTTTTACTCATATATTATAAGTCTATAAATCTTATATGTTGACTAAGTTTTCATAAAATGTAAAAGTGATAAACTATTTGCTATCACCAAGATGTGGTATTAAATGGGTTAGATGCAATATGTGCACAAAATCGAGACAAATCTTGATGAACCATTTTTAACCATTATTTCTCTTAACCACCTGAAAATTAGAAATAATACGCTTGTTTGGTCCTAAAGAATGAGTTAACGAGAAAAAGTGATCATTTTCCCTAAAACACAGATCCTAAAGTGAGGAAGAGATCTTTTGCAATTTGATCTTGTTTTAAGAGATTCATTATGAAGTCTTCTACATAAGTTTAAACGCAATATTTAAGTTTCTTCTTCATTTGAAGAATGCAATTTCTATTGTACATCAATCCACATTGCATGTTAGTATGTGATTATTTTTTAAATTTTAGGAAACACAGTTTTCTTGTTTTGTCAAAATAAATGGAAAGTCATCCAAACAAAATTTTTACAATTAAAACAAGCCCAAATTGGGGCAAATTTTTGTAATACATTTGTGAGATTTCACCCAATAGACCCAAATTGAGGCAAATTTTTGTAATACATTTGTGAGATTTCACCCAAGAATCAAGTAATATACCTTCGAATCTATTGTTTAAAATTCGACTTCGATAAGACCGGTCTTTTCATGAGTAATAATTGCGTCTTTTTTTTCAAAATGAAGTAAAAACTTTTTTGTGAAAATTCAAGTGCATATTATATTTTGGCAAATTCCCTCTATGTAGCACAAATATGGTTGAGATCGGCAATATAGCACAAGTCAAAATCTTAAAAATTTGAATCTCAACCATGAATAAAAAAAAAGGAGCAATAATGCTACATTGCAAAGTGGAGGACTAGCTTGTCCATTGAGAAGAACTTTGTGGCGACCCCACTTTCCCCTAAGGCGAACCAGAGGGTTGGCGGGCCGTCTGCCTAGCTCTCGCCAAGACTCACGCAAACAATCTAACCCGAATCCTTTCCAAGAATAACCTAAACTATTACAATAATGAATCTCCCAAAATAAACCAATTGTTAACATCACATTAACTTCAAAGATAACAGCATCCGAAGTTAGCCAATCGGCGGCTCCTAAACGTCTCACGCGTTACATCCAAGGAATAAGGTCGTACAATTCTAAATACATATAAAATTCATACAAACCAGATATCGAAGAATCGTCCGTCCCAACTAAGCAAACATTCATACAACATTCATACAACAATCAAACCAAGCATCCAAATTAAGTTTTACACATTTTCCAGCTTCACGCGGCAATCCAAGACTAAAAGTACGTAGTTCAAATTTTAGCACAAAACAACCCACAAAATAAGCCATACTATCCAATTACATTCCAAAAAGAAATATAGGTAAGTTTCAAGGCTTTCAGTTTCCAGAACCTGTCAGGGAAAACAAATAAACGTGGGGTGAGCTAAAACTCAGTGGTGCCCCAAAACATGCAATCAAATAAAACAAATATCACGTATCGATTTTAATTAAAGTAAACAAATAGGAAAGCGTGTAACAGCACAAGGTAGGATACAGGGGCTCTCAGGAACCATTCTCCTTGCTTGATCAGAAATTACCGTAGTCGACCCTCCGTCAACTCTCACTACTTAAAGTCCATGTAGATACTCTTATTTTTCTTAGCTCCGGCCACCGAACATACCCCAGCTCCGGGCCCGCACGACAAAATAAATGAGAGCGGTAGTACTCGAGTATACCTGGGACTGGTCGAGGGATTTCCCCAACGACGTTGCGTCCAGCAAGAGATTAGTATAGACTGGTCGAGGGATTCACCCAGCGACGTTGCGTCCAGCATGAGATTAGTATAGACTGGTCGAGGGATTCACCCAGCGACGTTGCGTCCAGCATGAGGTTATTATAGACTAGTTGAGGGATTCACCCAGCGACGTTGCGTCCAGCATGTAGATAGTGCAAGCAGGATATTCACGAAAACATTTCAAGCAAGTCACCACTCGAACGGCTAATGTGGTAAAGTACACATAGCTCACTTCGATGGATCAAAACCATATTTCCAAATGTCACATATCAAGCCGAGAAAGCGCATTAATCAGGTAAGCATAGAACAAGCAGGGACACTCACCAAGAGTGAAGTTCAAAGGTCAAGCCGGGAATCGTAGTCCAAGTCCTCGCTAAATCCTAGAAATCCAAGTTTTAAGAACTATAAGTTTTACTAAGCAAACTCTTGACTTCAAACATATAAAAGATTATCTTGTATTAAACTAGTTTATTTCCCTGAAACAAATCAATAAATTTCTTAAACATCAAAACTAGTAAGGAATAAAGTGTTTCATGTGGTTTCTTTAAAGATATTTTCTTTCAAGGGTGCAAACTAGAACCAAAGTGGTTCAGACGGGTTTTCCTTGCCGAATAAGTTTTCTATGCCTTTTATTTGAAATTACTTAAATCTAGTATTTTTTTCCAAATTTCCTTTAAAACAACTGGTCAAGAATAGTTTTAAGAAAACTTAAAGTTTAAGAGTTGGATACAAATACTCCCTAAAGGTAATAAAGCTAGTTTAAGCAAAATAAAAGAATTAACTAGTCGGCAAGGATTTTAAAAGTCCCAATATCTAACTTTCTAATAATACTACACTAAACTCGAATTCTATCACTTGATATTAAAGCGGAATATTTCCACAAAATTTGATTTTGAAAGTATTCAAGTTCAAGATTAATCAAAAACGGTCTTCACGATTCTAGCTCATTTGCACAATGGATTCCCAGGTCACCAAGATGGAAACATTACAAACCAAATATCAATTTCACTAGGGCTTCATCAATCATTAGCCCTAGATCTCAACAAACTCCAGTACAATTAGAATTCAACGAAGGAAGTCCAAGGTAACAAGACAAACAAAAATGCAAACCATGGACCTCCCAAGTACATTTCAGCCAACCACTTGAACAAATTCAACAAAAATTAAATTATTGCAAAACTACTCAAATGGCCAAGAGCTTCATCAATCATTAGCTCTTGACAACAATCAATCACTTCCAACCACAATTCAACCAGAAATTCAAACCACAAATAAGCTAAATGTTCGATCCAAGTCAAAAGTTCAGTTTCATAAAGAAACAGGACATTCAAGCAGGACAGTCTATTTTGAGGAGTCACGGACAGCAGTACATATGGAGGAAAAATATGAAATTTCTACAGAACAAAGGCCGATGAATCTAGTTTCAAATGCCACTGACGGCACCTTAATCGGATTTTCCTACACCAAGATATAAGCATTTTACTGAGACTGGTCAGTAAAATCCGAAAATCTGAAATCTCATTTTTCACTTGTGAAAAACTCCTTTTTCTCTTATAACACCATAAGGTTTTTTTTTTTTTAATCCAACCATCCATACATTTCTTATAGAACCCTAAAACAATATATTCCAGGCATTTCCAACCATTATGTTTCAAAGAAAAATTTCGAAATCAAGCTGAGCTTCCAACTCAACCTTCGGCTTCCGCAAAAGAAATTCCAGCATTTATGTGCCAACACTTTTGGTTCAATTATTCAATATATCCAATATTTCATTGCTAAACAACTTAAAATTTACATCTCTTATGTATTACTAAACCATTATATTCCAAGGGAAAAATAAAATAAATTTCCAGAAACCAATTAAAATTTCCAAAGACCACTTGAAAATTCTGGTTCATACCCCTCGGCTATGAATACTTTTCCAGCACTTAGAGTTTTATAAATCCAACTTTTCCTTGGCTAAAGCATGGTTTTAGATTCTCAAATTCATCATGTGAACCTTTGGCTAACTAATTAACATTTCTGGTTCAAAATCGAATTCGAATAACAGGTTCAAACATCCCAAAACTTCCAGAAATCTGTCCAGCAAGCTACGGATGAATCATGCATGAAGAAACTTTCAGTTTTCATTTTATTTTCTTGGTTAAAACATGCTATTAAACTCTCAACTTCCTCATGCAATTACTTAGCTAAACAATGCACATTTTCAGTTCAAGAGTTGAATTTAAACAATGGTTACCAACCCCACAATTTCCAGGTTTAAACCTCACGGCTTTTCTCAAAATTTCCAGCAATAAAAATGGTTCTAAAACAAGATTTTCTTTGGTTAACCGAGCTACTTAGCCTCATGCAAGACTTAATTACCTTATTATTAGTGAGGTAATCACATTCACCAGTTTAAATTGTTACCACATAAACAGATTAGTGCTGCCTTTTCAATTCAGTTACTCGGCAGTCCATTTCCTTCCAAATCAAGGTTTCTTATGCTTCTAATTTAATCATCCAATACACACAAATCAACATGCAAAGCCACCTAAAGGATTTACTTATCATATCCAGCTCAGAACAGGTTCGGACAGCAGCTATAAACTTCCACAAATCCAGAAATTTCTACAACTATTCTCGGATGATCTTGCAGGCAGCAAGTATTCTTTTTCATCTTTATTTTTCTGAGTTAAACCCGTTAATTAGCTACATGCAGAGCTTAATCATCTTGAAATTTACTAGTTAATCATGGTTAGAGGCTCAAAACAGCAAAATTAAACCAAATCAAGCTGCATTAATCAAGTTAAGCTCTCGGCAGTTTCCATCACTTGCGCATAACAGAATTTCTTTTCCTAAAACACTCATCTGGATGCCTAACATCAGCATGCATGTTCCTAGATGGCTTAATCTTCTTGTTTTTGATTAGATAGACACTTAATTACGCTCAGATCATCGCAGGTAAATAAATCAAGAGCTGCATTTCCATCTCAGCTCCTCGGCAGAGCCATTTAGCCAAAACATAAATTTTTCTAGTGACTTAATGTCATCCACCGACTGAACAATCCATACATGCAAGCTCTGATATAGCTTTCTCTACTAGTAATCAACCTAATTAGTCCAGAAATTACCTCAAATACCAGCTAAGCTCACACACGAAAATTCCAGAATTTTCTTTCCTTCCTCTCGGCTTCAAGCGCGGGTCGGCTGGTCCTGGTTCTTGAGTTGCGGCTGGAGTGGTGTTGTGGTGAGGTTGAGTTCGGTTGGTTGGAGTTGGTGGAGATGGAGGTGTAGAATGGTGAAGCTCACCGAAAATTTGCTCCCTGGTTTCACTCCAGCTCACGGCAGAACCAGAAAATTTTTGCAGCTCGCATTCCCTCCTCCCTTGCTCTCGGATGCAGCTCACAAGGTAACTCTCTCTCCTTTACTCTCGGTCCAAGGCAGATGAAGAGATGAGATGTGGTTGTGGAGAGGAAGTGTAGTGGCTGCGGTGAAATTGTGCAGAGGAAATGGAATTGGTGAAGAGGCGGTATCTCGGTATTAAGAAGGAAGAGGAAATGGTTTGCGGAGAGTTTGTGCAGAGGAAAATGAAATTGTGGTTTGAGATGTGAAATAGAGAGAAAGGTATATGGTGCCGCGGTTTTAGGAGAAGGGATTGAGTGTAAGAATCGGTTGCGTATCGAATTGGAGAAAATGTGATTGGCCAATAGTTGCGGTGATTGAAATTGCTGTCAGAGGGTTTGTTTGGTTTGCATGGAAATGTTGTGGTTGCAGGGGCATTTTAGTCTTTTCACTTTGCTCCCTAACCTCAACTTAATTTCTCCATTCTAATCTTAAAACCAAAAATTATCCCCAAGTGTGATTTGAACGCCTAATTATACACTAGTATACTTAAACCATTTTTATCGAATATTTATCGATTACACTTTAATATTAAGGTCCCTAACATTAATTAGCGATTAAATTAGTTATCAGAATATCCAATTATTTATTCTCAAGAAATAGAGTTAGTCTAACTCGAAATTTATCGATTTAGTAATATAAAGTCAAGTGAAATAATAATTTACCACCAGTGTGTCAACTTGCACATAAAAATTATTTTTACGCACTTATTGTGGAAACAAAGAAGGCTAAGACTATAATTATCGAAATTTTCACACCTTAGGTATGTTTAGCATACTTGTATAATATTTATCTAAATTTCATTGTTTTTCATCTTAACGCGGAAATTCCTATTAACATTTAACATTAGCAACTAATTGGAATTAATCACTGGAATTTAAATAATTTGTTTTAAGATAGTAAGGTTATCGAATCAAGTGTCATTAATTTTTGCCTAAAGGAATTTAGGTATTCTAACATTTTATGTTAAGGCGAAAAATTTAATCTAACTCTAAAGATATTACTTTAGTTTAGCAAAACCAAGAAATTTCATAAATTAGAAAAATTATATTATTTTTCACTTAAACCTATTTTTACGTACTTAATTGCGAACAAGTAAAAGTAATGCTAGAATTTATTAAGGAATAAAAGAAATGCAAATGAAATATGCACTGGCTTATATATCTATTTTCAGGGTTCTCACAAACTTACTTTGGCAACTAGTTTTGAAAAAAAAAAAAGAAGGGAAAAAAAAGGGAGGGTTTTCCTCCAATTTTGCAAATTTTGTTGTTGAACTTTTAGAGCATTTTATTTTGGAATTGTGTTTCTAAGTTGAGGCAACATTTTATTCTCTCATGCTTGGAATGGAAATGGTAACACCTACCAAAATTAAGATCCCATTCCTGCACATTTTGATGAAAGCCCAACTGAAAGAAGCCAAATCGGTCAAGAAGCCATGAATTATTATCTCCAATTGATAGAAATGAGTTGAATGCCATTTGTCATAGGCAATATTACCAACAATGAATGACTCATGTTCATAACAAGAAAGACAAATCTCGCTTGTTTGAAGTGAGAGATGAGGTTTTGAAGTGAATACTTCCGATTCAAGCGGAGGCTAAAGGAAAGTTTGCTCCAGCTTGGCAAGGACCATTCATTGTTAAAGAGTGCTACTTGGAGGAGCGCTTATTCTCATGGAGATGGATGGACAAATTTTTTCTCAACCTATCAATTCAGACTTGTGCAAAAAAAATTTCAATTGATTATGAAAATTTTCTTTTGAAATTACTGCAAAAGAGGGGTTCAAGTCAGTCCTTACTTCCCTTTTCATATGGACATTTTATCTTTATTTTTTTCTTTGACCTCTCAGAATAACTTATTCTTTTTGCTTGGTAGTCCTTTGAAGATTGCAAGCCCTACATTGGGGTAAATTTTTATTTCTTTGTTTCTATTTTCAAAAAACAAAAAAAAAGAAGAAATAAAAATAGAAAAAGAGTGGGTGAGCGCAAAAGAGAAGAAAAGAGATACCCAATTAGAATTAAACCGGGGCAAATTTTAGTTCTTATCAGCCTTACATTGGAGTAAATTTTGAAAGATTGCGATCTCGAAATTTTCAAACCCATTTTGTAATATAGCTTCAAACCCTAACCTTTTCTTTACACCTCACCGAACCCATTACAAAAGTGAAATGTTATCAACCTCCCCTTTTGTAGTATTTTGAGGAAAAAGTTTTTAATCAATTGACAGATGATGTAAATACACTTTCACCAATTTGGCAAGGGAAGGATTGTCTCACTGATGCCATCAATTTTAAAACTTATTTTTGAATTGATAGAGGTTGTCATTAAATTTATTCATTAGGTGACAACCCGAAAGGGCGCCTCTTCAAAAAAGAAAAGAAAAGAAAAAAAAGAGAAGAAAAAGAAAGCAAAAAATAAAGAAAAAGAAAATGGGTAAGGGCAACTTTAATGAAAATCCGAAAAGGCGTTAAGGTAGGGTTTTGAAGCACAAAGAGAGTCGTGAATGAAAAACAGAGAGTCGATTGTTGAATAGTTGGTGATTATATTCATTTGGGTTTCTCTTTATACTGAAACTCTTTTGACAACACTAAATTTCAAAAAAATGATATCAGAAGGGATCATAAATGACGTTTCTCTCATCATAGACTGACCGTTCAAATTTATATCTGAGTCTCCAAATCACTTTTAATAAACTTTATAAGAATCGTTTTCTCATTGAAAATAATTTTTACTCTATTCTTCTTTCGTTGCATTAATAATCTAGTTTAAAATTTTTACATGTTTTACCAAGAGATCATCCCCTCAATTTATCGTAATTGGTATATAGACATGTATGTGTCATGGTATAAACATGGTTGGCTGAGTAAAGATACTAGCATATCAAGAACAAGTTGCACAACATTTCTAAATTAAACTATTTTTTTTCAACGTCTAAAAACTCATTTTACATGGTTCTCAAGACTCGAGGGATGACACGGTGGTGGCATTATATTTTATCACAGTTGTTTTCGTTTTCTTTTGCAAGATTGGATTACGCATGCCTTCTTAAAGAGAGAGAAAAAACAACACATATTTAGCTGAGTCCGATCTATATTGGGGCAAATTTTTCATAAAAGTGATATCTGATTCTATAAGTGAGTTCAATAATATTTACAAAAATAGCAAAAATTGCTTCACACTTTTTCTTTTAATCGGAAAGCATTTTTAATGCTCCGTTTATTTTGTTGGGATTGGGTTTCATCCCACCAACCATTTATTTGTTGGGTTTGGATTTTATCCCACCTCCTATTTATTTTGTTGGGGTTGAATTTTATCCTACAAACTATTTATTTTGTTAGATTTGGATTTTATCCCACCAACCGTTTATTTTATTGAATTTGAATTTTATTCTACCAATCGTTTATTTTGTTGGAATTGGGATTTATCCCACCAACCGTTTATTTTATTGAGTTTTTCACCGACCGTAATTGATAGCCGAAATGGACGGGAGCCACCTCTAAAATCTAAATATGGATGATTGCCCTTAAATTACCGAACGAAAATAAGTGCTGCGCGGGGCTAGGTGTCACTTGCGACGGGGGCCACCTCTAGAGCCTACGGGACTAAGTGCCACGTCTGATAGTGGGGCCACCTCTAGAGCCCGTATGAGCCACCGCTAGAATCCGTATCAGTCCCGTATCATTTGAAATTGATTGTACCACGTGTTATTACCTAACTTGTTCATGCCTGCTGTGAGAACCCAAAAATTTTCACATTTTCTCAGCATTATTTTATTTCTTTGCCTACATTTTATATTTTCCTAGGAAATATTAAAATTTCTATGCATTTTTACAAGCAAGTACAGTTTTAAATTCATTTTCCAAGTAAGAGTTGGTGTACGTTAATTTGAAGTGCGTTATAGACGTGGGACCCGCTAGTGCGATATAAGTTTGGTGACTAAGTGATTTTTGGGCTAAGTGTTATTATTTTACAAGGTGCTAGGAGATAATTAGAGGTTAGCTAGATAGATGAACCATTGGAAGAAAGAAGATAAGTTTGAACCATTAAAAGTGCCAAGTGTCGCGACACGATTGGAAGTTAGACTTGCCTAACTTTCTTTACCTTTACTAAAACCTTAATTTTGAACAATTTTTGTTTCATTCTTTCCCTTCTTGGCCGAGCTTCTTGAAGAGAAAAACCAAGGGAGAAAACTTCATTTGCTAACTTCAATTTGCTTCAATCTTGAGTTCTAACCAGTAAGTTGCAAAAATACACCATCAAAGTTGCTAGATAAGGAGAATTAAAGCTTCTAGTGGAGGGATTTGTGAAAGAAAAACCCTAAGTTATCATCTTTCTTGAGGTGTTAAGGTACTTTTCTTACAAACTTCCTCTTTGTTCATGCTAATGTCAAATTAGTGGTTTGTGGTGGTTAAATATGTTATTGTATGGAAGATTTTATGGTTTGAGGTAGAGTTAGATAAATTTCTGTTTTTTTGGCAATTTTTCTGTTTTTATATGATAGTTATTGGTTGGCCATGAATGATGGCTTGATATGGTGTAAAATAAAGCTTTTATATGTTAGTTGTGGTTGTTTGCGAAAAATTTCGGTTTTGTGCGGAAATTCCAGTTTTAGGGTTCCAATTTGCCCTATTCTGCCCGGTTCTGTTTGACCATGTTAGAGGCTGAATCAGGCTTAGATTAAAACATAAAAGTTGTAGAAAAGGATGTTAACTAGCTTCCTACAAAATTTCAGTTCAATCGGAGCAACATATCCTATGAAATGACCGAAATACCCTGACTGCCCTAGGTGAATCCAGTGATCAGTTTTGAATATTTCACCAATCTGGTCGTGTCTTTTCACCATGATATGTACTGAACTATTATTTACCCAAAACATGAAAGTTGTAGTACTATGTCTTAGCTTTCCAACGCCCCTGAGAACGCCTTAATCGGACTTTGGTAACTCAAGTTATGGCCATTTGAATGTAGTGCAGTTAACTAGCCTGTTGGTAGGAATCCGGTTATGTAAATTAGGAATATGACTTGGATACACTAGAAACTGGACTAAGTGGTCTTCATCAAAATTGTATCCCTCTGTCTTAGCTTCGAAACTTAATATATTTCACCTCAATCCGATAAGCGTAGCCTCGGTTGTATCCGTTACGCAAAACAACGTCAAATCTAT